GGGGGGGGGGGGGGGGGATAAGAAAGATACAGAATTTATGAACATACTGGAGAGCATCGGTGGCAACATCTGCAATAAACTTCTGTGTGGCAACTGCCACCAACCTTATTCTGCATATACAGAGGAGACACTCAATGTAACAATACAATGTTCAAAACAAATAAGTTAGATGAAATAGCAAAATTGAAACACACATTGCTGCCAAAAGAAACATCAAGTGCCACAACTCTTTAAATTTACAACTATTTAAGAAAGCAAATACGAACCCAATTCACATATACATTAATTTTGCAAAAAATTACTGCCAAACCACAAAAAAAAAAAGAATTGTTTAAAAATCAAAAGGAAGGAACTTAAGCGCAGATGTACAGTATAAACTACGAATTCAGCCGAACGCCGCAATTTTATCCCAGACTCCGTATGTGTTAATAAATCTACTAAATACGTACAAATATTAAATTTCGAACACAGTAACTCTAATGGCCAGTGTGTTCACTGTTTGGTGGCTTTCTGAATCCATAAAGTTCAAATCTTGGATTCCACTCTATTATTTAGTAACTTAAGGAGAAGATAAACCTAGTAAAAATTGTTTATCATCTTAAGGAGAAGATAAACCTAGTAAAAATTGTTTATCATCCAAGAACCAAAAAAAATCATATACTAAGATAGTTTCGCCTTCTTCTTTTTTGTGCAATCCGAACAAGGAACAAATTTTCTATGACTAGTACTTTTTAATGACGGTGGTGTCAGGGCCAGCTTGTGAGCACCTCAACTATTCCACGGGATACCTGTTACCTGTCACCAGCATAGGAACCTAGTATCTCCGCCCACCAAGACTTAGGCAGATTGGAAGAAATCTCCTAGTATTTTTTGTAATTTTCTATGAATAATATTAAGAGCAACTTAAAAGATTAAATAGGACTAACAGCAAAATAAAAATAAAAAAGAGGAAGAGAGTGCATACAATCGAACGTCAGGGCATTGGAAACCACTTTTACCCAAGTAATGCTCCACTAATTCATCTGGAATCTGATCAAAAAAGTTTTAACCATCACAAACAGAATGTAAAATTATATAGACCTAAAACTGCACGAGATTGAAAATAGCTGCTGATAAAAAGAGAAGGGGGAAAAAGTGAGCTGACAGTGGGAGTATAGTCCA